GTACATGTAAGGTTATATTTGCGAAAATATATATCTATATTTTTATATAACCTGAGCGAGTTTCTCTCCATCAACCCCCAAAGCCACAAACCCCCCATGTCACCCCCGTAAAGCGGGCAGTTGTGACAATATCCATAACAAGTTGTTCGCAATTCCTTCTCCTTCTCACCAACAGACAGGCATGAGCTGGGAAGTATTTGTTGAGATGTCTAAAATAAAAATCCTTCTAGTCAGGATAAAATGTCGCTAAGAGTTTTCTCGAATCTGCCTGATGGTGCATTATCGAGCGTTGTTATTAATACGGCGTTTTCCAGCGGCACATTTCTTGACAGCCTAAAATCTGCTCTATCAATTCCAATCCACAAGGAAAGTGGTGACTGGGCCGATTCCAGAAATCATAGACCGATTTCTCTATTGCTGACCTTCTCCAAGATCGTCGAGAGACTCGAGAACTCGGAACAGTGCTGGTACAGTACCAACGATTCAATTTTGGGAACCTTGTATCCTCAAATGAATGAGGCAGACGCCGCTAAGGTGGTGTTCTGGGACTTATCAAAAGCTTTCGAGTGTGTGAGTCGCATAATACTGCTGCGAAAGCTCACTTAAATGGCTGCGGGAGTCTCATTTAAATGGTTGGGTTCTTATTTGTCTAATCGGTGTCCGGCAGTTCGTGTAAATAACATGACATCTAATAGCGAGCACCAGGGCTCTGTCTTAAGCTCAATCCTCTTTTTGTTCTATATCAACGACCTAACTGCAACAGACATTAATCGCAGATTTACTTTATTTGCTGATGACACTACTATACTATGGCATGCCAGGAACCCATGTCCGATGAATGCAATTATTGAGGATGACGTTGAGAGGGTGAGCCGTGATGTAACTCTAATTTACTTTTTTTCGACACTAGGTCATGAGAGCGCTTCTTTTCTTGAATCGAGCCCGTCAAAATCAAAACAATTATAAAATGGAAAAAAATTATTAAGTGTTGTACGAAAAACAGCATGATTTTTGATTAAAATGTACATTATTCATGATTATTGAAATCTTGATGAGATTACGAAAAAAATTTTGTTAAGGATTTTTTGCCCTAACATTAAATGTAACAGTGAGATAGGTTATATAGATGTCATTTTAGTGAAGAAATTTTAAATGCGATGAATGGAGTTGATGACCAGTTATTTTTGTGTGGTATATCGTAATAATTTTAAATCGATCACATTTCTTGAATGTATGGTGTGCGTATGGTTTTATCTTGTGATATCTTGTAAATGAGTTATGAAGATCTGCTGAAATCACCTATAACTGAAAAATTTCAAAATTAAATTAATAAAAAAACAATTCTTTAAAAACATGGTTTTTGACAACACTATTGTTTCTTTGTTTCCCTAAATAAACTTTCAATGAGTCCCACGAACGAACTCTGGGAAGGGCCACATAAAGTTGTCCTTGACTAAATACATCCTCTGTGAGATCAATTCCTATCCTGTCAAATGTTTGTCCTTGAGATTTGTTAATCGTCATTGCAAAGGCCAATTTTATCCGAAATTGTCTTCGTTTGAACGTAACGGGGTAGACGTTTTCGCAGTAGAGTGTTATTCGATTTATAAACACTATTTCTCACTCCAGTCAATATTTCACAGCGTAACAGATTATCCCCAAGTTCCAGAACTAATAGCCTTGTACCATTGCAAAGATCTTCACTGATGCTCAAATTTCTAATAAGCATAACAATAGAATTCGTTCTCAATCGTAATTCATGGGCAGGAAGTTCGGCGGATTAAGCGAATTTAAATATTCTGGAAGAATAGCATGATTTAGATCACCATTATCACAGTTCTACACACTCTACACTGGTGTAGAGTTTTTCGGTCTTGACGTCCAACAGTTCGACAACTTGTTTGTTTATTTCTTCGACGTCAACATTTCTTGCAGATTTGGTCAAGTCCCTGAATCTTCCTTCTTTTAGTACTTTTCCATAGATGTTTTCAACAATATCCGATTTATCTATACATTTCTCCGGCAATTTTGGATTGTTGTTGGAATCATTTAGCGTTATCGCATAAAAGTGGCTCAATTTCAGTAATAACGTGCCTAATGTTGGCCTTTAAGGGAATTGAATGCGCCTCGATGCCAAAATATTTTTTCCTGCGCGAAGCACCTAACGCAGTCTATCATTGTATTCTTCCCCCCCTATTAATACTCCTTAGTGGGAATGAGATGAATGAAACAAGGAATGCATTGCGTTCCTAGTTTCAACGTAACTTTTTAGCAAATGAAGTTATATCAAATTTCTTTTTTGCATTCGATTTATAATATAGGGAAGAATGGCGCTATCTTTTTAGAAATCCGGTAACAGAAATGAGTTCTCCAAAAATTACAAAAATGTAATTCAAACTGGAAAAAAACGAGAAAATTAATCAATTTATGGTGTCTTTTTTGGACGGACGCCAACTCGGCACTTTATTGTACCTAGGTAAAATTTAAGGCCTTGACCGACCGGCCAACTGGACACCAAGACTAAATAGAGACCGGCCAATTCGACACTTTACCTAGGCCAACTCGCCACTTTATTGAACTCGCCAACTGAAGGTTTCTAGAAAACGTTTGGGTGATAAAACTCACATAATAATTAATCTAAAAAAGCTTTATTTTAAATAAATAATTTTTCATAGTTATTTATATTACAAGTGAGTTTATGAACATGATTACAATAACGAGTGTGAAAGATTAGAACGACGAGGTCGTAGACCGAGTCGTTCTAATCACACGAGTTTTGTAGTCATGTTTAAACGCACGTGTGATGTACAAATTTTTATCTACAAAGCGAAAAATAAGATTTTTTTTTTCAATCATTTTCGTTTATTAGTCGTTGTATACCTTCATTTTACCTTTACAGGTTTACCTTGGACATTTGTCAAATCACCAAAAATAGTTGTGTAATGAATTCATAACCTTTTCCATAACACTACTAGTTGTGTTATGAATTCATAAGCTAATCCATAACACAACTAGTTGTGTTATGAGCCTCATGACATATACCTATACTATATACCTACTATCACAAAGTCTATACTATTGCCTTGTTATTCTTGTACAAACAAAAAAAGCGGTAATATTCGTTTAAAAGTTTTTTTATATTTTGTATCTACATATGTGAAACTAATTTAACAAAATCGTACTCGGTTAATTCATTATTATCGAGTGCCAGGATTTTTTGATTTAAGAAACATTCTGCTTGTTTAACTTTTTTAGTTTTAACAATAATAAGGGTATTAATACTTTGAATTTTTACATAAATCAAGCATTGATATTCAATAATGGTGGTCTCTATTAGGATGCGCAATGAGAATGAAGTGACTCGCAGGGGTTAGTTGTTGAGAATAGATAACTGCTCTTTGAAGCCCTCATCGAAGGAGGAAATGCTGAATTTTCTTAGATGTAATTATCAATTTTGGGGCATAAAATACCTATGCGAAAATTAATCCCCTAAGCAATAGAGTGCTCAGTTGACCTATCCTCTAGACAATAGAGTGCTCAGTTGGCCTATTTCTTAGGGGCTCTTTGAAAACTACCTGCGTTTGATGGTGTCGAGTTGGCCGGTCTACGTTTATGACCTCAAGAGTTTGGTGCCCAGTTGGCCTGTATTACCCTCTTTTTTAATTAGCGCCAATCTTATGTGTGTTAGCAATACAATAGCATAAACCAGAATCCCAAAAATTATCTAGTTTTTTTTTGTAGAAATTTAATCAATTCTTCTTGTCATTTTGCCTGTCTCTGTTATACCTGCAGCAAACCCTATGGCTCTTTCCTCCGCCTGTTTTGCGATAAATTTTAAATCGCTATCATGAAAGATCCAGCGCCAACCGGCCCAACAGTAGCCCAATGCAGTAATCGCGATGAACCTCGCATCTTTATTAGTATTAACTTGTTGGGTAGTCGTATAGTTCGACGTGCGTTACAATATATTTTAAACGGCGCATTCAATGCCCTTAAGGCGGTAACTGTTCGAGTTTTGAACATAGACTTTGGATTTTAGAAATCCCAGAAAAAAACATCCAGTGGCGTTAGGTCGGCGAATTGTGGATTCTGAAGGACGATCGTTGACACCATAAATTTCACGGAGTGCACGAAACGTTTGCCGGATAGAACATTGGTTATGATAATGATAATAGTTTTTAACAATTTCGACGCGTTGCTCAGTCGTGTAGCGCTCTATAATAAAATGCAGAGACTAATTGCATACGGCTGTCAAAGATAGCACCTGTGTGACTATCGAGTTCGTCATGGGCTATTGTCAAACATCGAGCGTTACTATTGGAAAACCCTATATATACCTAAATTCTTCTATTGGACATAGAAAAAATAATAAACCACTTCCTTGCTTTAAAAAACAACCATCTACAGAGCATTATCTAATAGCACATCTAATAGGCATATTGTCAGAGATTTGTCAGGTAAATAAAAAATTCACAGTCCTTCACAAAGATGCAACCGAGGAGAACATTGAAAATGCTCAAGCAGACTTCAACGCTAATGCTTGTGATTATTGTGAGCTCTGAGATCAGCGAAAACTCAACCCTTTCCAGATTTCGATTCGATAGAAGAGTGCTATCAGGAAACATTTTAAATTGCATAGTTTCACTCTGTCTTTTCTGTCGTTGACATTATTATTTTAATATAGGTTTGTTTTGAATTGAATTGGACTGTAATTCATTAGACAAATGTAGGTACTAGTTGTAAAGCTTTGTCAATGAATACTACCTATCTGTTTTGGACGATAAAGCATGTTGTGATGTGATTTGAATTTTCCAAAAAGCCAGCGGCTTTTTGATATCAACTCAAAAGACAGCTCGCTTTATAAACAGCTAGAAGCTTTGAAAAACGAATTTTAAAACGTCGATTACTGACTATAGAGAAAGGCTTTTTTGACAGTATTAGAAAATGGTAATGAATTATTGCAAAGTTTTAATTTGAAGTTGTCTAAATAAAATTATCACCTGTAATGGTGCGCTCTCCTCGTCTTCGTCTTCCTCTTCCTCCAAAAGTACCTCCGAATCCTCCTCTAGAATATCGGTAAGTGTACCTGCTTGTGGAGACCTCTGTACAGCTGAAACGTGGGGTACTAAATCACTGCTACTGGATTCAAGGACGGAGTGGTGGGGTTCTGCGTCTACTGGAGATTCCGTGGTGGTACTAGGCGATATTTGCGTACGATTTGATGGTGCCTTGGCGTCTTGTGCGCCGCACCAAGGCAGGCAACACTTCCAGGCGCCCACCAGCGTGACGGTTGGGGTCGGCCCTGACCCCTGGCTCCTTCCTCGCGCTAGTTTGTACCACCAGTAATGCGTATTTGTTCAATTATTGGGAATATATTTTTTTTTAGTAGCACACCGAGAATATTGTTTATATCGTTGAAAGTCCTTGCTTGGATTATTAAAGCTCTTGGATTTCTATAAGTTTGAATTGATATTAGATTTTTTAAGCAGCATAAAGTTTTTCAGCAGGGCCGTCATATAAATATGATTATATCCAATTCGCCAGAAAATGTTGGCACCCAAATTTTACTCTCATGAAAATTTCAAAGATATTTAAACGCACATGAACTAAATAAAAACGATCTATTAGGTAATAAAATATCGTTTGTGTGTAAATAATCCCTTTGAGAGCTTTAAAATTATGTGTGGTTGTAAACAATCGGAGGCTATAGAAGAGAAATCGTGAAAAAATAAATATTTGGTGCTTTTATGAAAATCCAAATATCTAATGGAAATGAAAAGTCGAGTGAAAGAGTTCCTGCCTGAGATTAGAGGTTATAAATAAATTTTAAACTATTTTTAAAATTACATCCTACTATTCCTTTAAATAATAATAGATACCTGTGCATTCATAGTTTTAAATCAATTATTCATCGCGTGATATTATTCAGAATAATAAATAAAAGAAACAAGTTGAAGACCACAAATCGAAAATCAATATACCTACATAGATTGGGTCAACCCAATAATTTATTTATATCTGTCTATAGTATTAGTTTGTCGAGACGTAGAAAGAATATTTTTAATAAACAACCATTAATGATGATAAGTATGAAAAAAAAAAGCTTGGAAAAGTGAAGAGAAACTATCTATTTATTCCGTTAAATGAGGCAAAATAATATTCACAAAAATGGAACATTGACTGTGTTGTTTACTAATGAATACATTTCATTTCAAAATTCGAACCTTAAACTTTAAGCCCAATTTATAAACTCGCCGACGGGATCCCGTTTGCGTTTGTGTTTTTGTCGGGTTCACCGTTACCAATTGAATATTAGGAATCCCATAAGGTCGTTAATATTCGCCGGCGACTCACCGTCCGTTGTCAGGCCTGCCGTTTCATTCCGTAAGATATAAACCAATTTTATATTTTCCGCCGCCGACTCGTAGCGATGTTCGTAGCAGATTTGAAACAGTCAATCAAAACGGAGGTTTACCTGTCACGTGATGTTTACGTCTATTGGGGAACAGCTGATCATTGAATATTGTGAATATCCCGAATTTTTAGCAAAACTTACAAAATAAAGATGCACGATATAGCACTTGATAGCACGAACAAATTAAAAAAAAAAAAACACACAAAGATTGACTTGAACAAAAATAATAGGTTAGGTTATATTTACTTTTGGGACGCAAACGGCAAGTTGATAAATGCTCGAGTTTTTTTGACTACGGTAATGGCGAGACCGACGCAAACGGAATCCCGACGGCGAGTTTAAAAATTGGGCTTTATTGTTGCCATTTTGGCAACATACACATTTCCTTTTATAATATATAAAAACATTTGAAAATGGTTGGTAGCTCAAGTTGATATGGGGTCTGTTCCAACACATCGAAAAGCCGTCTTATGAACGGTTTCGAAACCACTTAGCATACGAATTTCGGATTCTACGCACAAATTTTAGGTTTTGCGCAAAATCGTAACGGTACATTGGACGGTTTCCTGCTGTGTTGGAACAAACCTATGATAAATACCCTCGTATAGTATTTAAATTACACACATCTTCAATAATTGTAAATCTTATTCATGTAGTTTGATCACATAGCAAGACATGATGTCCAGTGGATGTCCATAATTTGTCGGCGTCTATACATTGAATTTTCTGTAAAAGTTGACCAGAATGCGTAAAAGGTTTTTTTTCCAACTCCTACCCAAATAGAATTTTATGCTTTTCTGGTCAATTTTAAAGGTCAGATTTCCCTTTTTTTGCTTTTTGTAAATAAATTTAGTAAGCTCCATTTCGTGCAAGAATTCACTCGTCATTCAAAACAATGGCAAATGCACTGGAATCAACGAAATCCATCGATATCGCCTCCGGATTTTCAGCTTACCTGTACAACGTTGAATTGGGTTCTGTTATAAGCATCGTTTCAGCTCAATCTACATTGGCAATAAACTTGGTAGGTAATAGGTCCACAATGCACCTTACCTTGGAGACTGACATTGATTGGAGCCCCTGGCAATATTTGCTGCGTTCAATATTAACGTCTGAACAATATTTTCGATCTGAATCGTTCGTTCTAGTTTGCGGTTATGACGTAGCCTCGAATTGTAAACGTAATGTTTATTTTTTGTAAGAACAAAAAGTTTTTTTACATTATCCAATCAGGCTTAAAATGCCCGCAATTGAGTTTCGAACTTTATTGCCGGATATCCAATTAAATTTTCTATATTTTTGCTTCTCACATCATGAAGCTTTTGTGAATAATCATCAAAAGTTGTTGAAACCATTCGATAGTGCTTCTTAAACTGCATCTTAAAAAAACGTGGCACGATTTCTTCTGCATAGTCCTCAACCTTTGCAGAAGGACCAGCTTCTTCTTTTCATCGTCGTCATTAAGTATCAAAACTCATTTGATGACCATGAATAGATACTAGAGAGATAGACATAGCCGTAAACAATGAAAAAGAATCACTTTACAACACCAAAACAACGAAAAACATCAAGCAAAAAAGTCGTGAAAAGAAAAGCGCCGGTAAAAGCGACTTTATTTATTTGGTCGGGCCGTTCGTCAATTGCAATTGGCCGAGACTAATTTGTGGTCACGTGACCAAAAATCTGTCGATTCTGCGATGCAAATACCGAACTCAGCTAGTGCATGGAAAAAGAATTGCAATTTTTGTCCTATTAAAAACGGCTCCTAAACTCATCAACAAAAATATTATTTCATTCAGAAGATAACGACAGCAGACATACTTGACATACTCATTGAGAACACATAATAATATGGTATATTTTCGGTAAAATAGAAATAGGTACTCCGTGACCTCGAAAACTCAGTTTATTTGAAAAACATGTCTTTCATAGAAGAAATTGTAGACAGGTAGTTATATCACAAATTCCAACAACTTAACTATTTATTTCAGTACCCTCTTATCTCTGAGAGCGACAAATAGGTCTTTTTTCAAATCTATGGTTTTCTACGGAGTGTTCAGGTCAGCGACATCACCGATCAATAAGAAAGAAATAATATAATAAAATGGTTTATTGAAGCAAATAGAATCAGGGCGATATTCGCTATCGGCGATCATTAGATAACACCGCCGCCATCCTAGCAAAGTATCCTAGGATCGTCCCCGCACTACCTACAAGATTTGAACATTCCGAACTACCTATTAACTCACATAATATCGCATAATCAGTAATATTAAAAAAGACTCATCACTTATTCAATGTGATAGACAGCTAATAACTAATTCTCAAAATCTAATCAATCAAAATCAGTCCATCATTCAATCATTCAAGGTCCAAATAACAATTATACGACCACTCAAACTAGAATTATACGTCCATTCAAGGTCCAAAATCAAAATTAAATACCATAAGAGATCCATAATTATATTAATATGGCCATTTAGGATCCAAAATAATGATAATACAACCATTTAAGGCTCAGCATAATAATTATTCTACCACCATTTGACGTTCAAAATTATAATAATAGGTACGACCGTTTAGCGTCCAAAATCAAACTTTACGGCCATAAGGTTCAAAGTTATAAGTTATTAATACGACCTTTGAGGTTGTAAATAATATTATTATTATTATTATTACGACCATTCGAGCAGTGTTGCCAGGCCCAAAACTTCTATAGCATGAAATTTGAGTCATTAAAAACATGAGAAAACATGAGATTTTTAAAATAGCTTAAAACATGAGGGGCCATTAATAAATAAATAAAAACAGTTGTTTAAAACTCTTGATCTTGTTTCATACCATCTTTGGTCATAAAAAACAATCAAAATAAAACAAACTATCGACGAAAATACATCACATCACAAAAAAAAGGGAACCTATCTTAGTACAGAAGACAGAAGCAACATTTGTGTTTTCTTCAATCACAGCTACATTCTATTTGATTAAAGATTTTTAAGTAAATGTCTATACTTTTCCACTACATTGGTGCTGTTTATAGCGGGTTTCTTCTTATTTATAAATGTGTTATCAATGTACAGTTATTGGACACAATACAGGGTGTCCTTAGATAAACTGACACATTTTGCAGGTAAATATCTCGAAAACGGGAAAAGATAACGAGATGCGGTTTGTTCTGTGAGAATAGGGACTTTTCAAAGTTTTTTTCCACATTATTGCCGAATCCTGAAATTTGCTGAAATTTGGTTTTACAGACATGCGATTTTTTGAAATAAAATAACTGCCTTATTTTTAATGAAACACCCCGTATCTTTCGTCATCGTCAGAAAGCCTGATTTTTCTACTTTACAAAAATGTATAATTTTTTTCAATTATCTTAAACTTGTATCGTGAAAATTGCACTTTGTCGAAAGGAATACCATTGACTAACCAAAAAAAAAATTGAGAATCAATTTGTGTTTAATACTTTTAATAACTAATTAGGGCATAGTTAACTAATAATACAAAAATTAAACACAAATAAGTGCATTTAAAACACAAATTAATTCTTATCATTTTTTTTTGTCCAGTCGACAGTACGCCCTTCAACCAAGTGCAATTTTTACGATTTAATTTCATGATAATTGAAAAAAATTAAACATTTTTGTGAACTAAAAAAGTCACGTTTTCTGATGATGACAAAATATACTGGGTGTTTCATCAAGAATAAGGCAGTATGTTTTTGTTTCAAAAAATCGAATGTCTGTAAAACCAAATTTCAGGATTCGTCAATATCATGAAAAAAAACTTTAAAAAATCCTTATTCTTCCAGAACAAACCGCATCCCGTTATCTTTTCTCGTTTTCGAGATATTCATCTCTAAAATGTGTCAGTTTATCTAAGGACACCCTGTATATTGTTTCATTCTTAAA